TGGGGGTTGGGGGGGAGGGTCACGCTCTTATTGGAGCCAGCTGTTTCTTGGCTGGGATGAAGCTTGCTGCAATCAGATGGCTCCAATTCCCCAAGACAGACAAAAGAGCGTATGTTTAGAAAATGAGGGTTTCCATCATCAGCAGACCAGAACATCGGCGAATTCTTCTTCTCTTCTCTTCTCTTCTCTTAATTTGGGTTGTGGAATAAAAGCAGACAGGAACTAGAAAAGGCTCGCACGAGAGCGCAGACCATCGCCTGGGTGGATTTCACAGTTCACAGTTACCTTGAAAAAGTAATGTAGTTACTAAACTGATCTCTTGACTTGGAAAGTAACATGTTATTCATTATCTTGAAAAAATATATATAATATATATATTTGGGGAGGGGGGTGGGTGCACTGGTAGTGTTTTTGAAGCTAGATAACACTTTGTCAAGAGCACACCATGTGCAATGTACCTCATATTTTCATTAGCTGACACAAGGCCAAAATAGTGACTGCATTGACAGTTTGAAACACCAATCAACACTCTCTCTGATTCCTACATTGTCGTTTTTTTGATGTGGTTGAAACATGAGATTGCACACACATGACGTCACTCCCCAGATGGGAAAGGCAACTTGCCCCAAAGTGGGTCACCTCAAGCTTTAAACACTTTAGCTCGCCTTTTCATATTTGTTTAATAATGTACAGTTGTTTGCTGTGTCTTTGTCGGAATGGAGTCTGGACTTCTGTAAGGGGCTCGACCAAATTTGGTGAAATGTAGAGAAATTGTCTGAAATGCAGGAATCGCGATCGGCGGCATATTTTGTCATTCGGGGCGGGGGGGCCAAGACGAACCCAGCCATCGGGGGCCGTCCGCATTTGTGTACTGCAAAGATTTTGAATATTTCACGTTCAGCACCAACTCAAAAGTAGGATGTGTCAAAGTCTGCTAATATAGCACAACCGTTTGCTCAATGGATTTCATCATCGATTTCGTGTGACCCTCAGAGAACTTTACAAAAACCGACAAGAAAATGTTCCGCACTCGCAATAGAAATGGTCGGCCGGACTTCTGAAATGCATAAATATGTCTGCAGTATATTAACGGCTGATTTCAATTATCCGGCAAGCGTTTAGGGTCCAAAGAGCCACAGGACATCTCCCCACCTGTCAATAGTTACCCACAAGGAGGACGGACGGGATGGCGCTCACGCGTGACGTGCGGGAGATAAAAAAAAAAAAAAAAAAAAAAAAAAAATCAAACAAACACGCTCATATTGAATATCTGTTTAGCTTTTCTTTCCTCTCGAGTTTTTGGTTCCAGTCAATGGTTTTTCGCTCGCATTAGACCGAAGATGGCCCCCGTGGGCCGACATGAAAAGAGACGTCAAGTCAAGGACCGCCGTGATGATACGCATGAGACCACAACAACCCCCCTCTACCAGTGACAGCAGGAAACAGATGCGAAGTACATTTTGTAACCTGCTCGTCAAATGGGGAGGAGACCGAGTCTTCTGTTGGGGTTGTGCATTTAAGGTCAAGTCACATCTAAGGAATGAACACGTTTTCTTTGTATGCCGAGCAGCTGCGACTGCGTATGACAATTAAGGGCAATTGAATATTCCGATTATTTGGGACATAAAAAGAGAAAACTGACGAAGTAGCGCAAACTTTGGGGACAAACTGGTTCGTAGAAATAATGGAATGGAGAGAAATGACTCTCAAGTGCTCCAGATGTTGCATGACACTGTTATGTGCTGTTATATGCCGTTTTTTGGGGATAGTATCGGTTTCTAAATATGGTGGATTAACCCTTTCATGCACCCTGGAACCCAGGGGTGTCAAACATACGGCCCGCGGGCCGGAACCGGCCCCCAAGGAGGTTCGATTAGGCCCGCAGGATAATTTATAAGTGAAAAAAAATACATTAAAGACACGGAATGAATATTTTTCATAAAATGCACTTCATGGATTATCCACTAGGAGACACACTGTTGTCATCAGAGTAGAAGACAACATTGTTTTGATCAGAGAAGAAAACAGTAGTCTCAGTCTGTCTCTGAGACAGACCCAACACATCAGACAGTATCAATGCTCCAATGCTTCTTTTTACCAAAACAAAGGAAAGACATGATATTTTGGTTATTCATAGCAGAGTATGGTATCATGTTAATGGTCCGGCCCACTATCGAGTCTGAATGTGGCCCACAATGTGAAATGAGTTTGACACCCCTGCTGTAACCTGATAACATGATAAGCTGTCCACTGTAGTAACTGCTGCCCCTCAAAGGGTTAAATAGGATAAGTCCCGAGTGAAAGCAGAGGTACTAAACGCACGGCCCGCCATAAACTAGGGATTTGAAGGCCAAAGAAAAAAACAATCACTTTGGGACCCACCACATGAAAATACAATTTTCCAGTAGCCCTGTCAATCACATGCCCTGAAAACCAACATCACTCTTCTCCCCTGCAGATACAGTACTGACAGTATCTCTCTCTGGTCCTCCACAAGTAGAAGTTACATGGGAGGGATTCTTTGACCCCCACCGCCCCCCCCTCGCCCCCCTTTCCTGGGTCGCCGTGGGCCCACGGCGAGGGGAGGGGGCGGGCCCTCTGCGTAAAGAGGCGGGATCCAGTTGCAGGCAGCTGAATGGGCGCTCTGTTGGGTTTCCCCCTCGGACGCCGTCACAGCGGGTCAATGAGGACTTTCTCCAACGGAGGAATTTCACAGCACATGAGCGGCGCGGCGCTGGCCTTCAACGCATCGCTGTCACGGTGGCGAGAACCGACCCAAGTGTTCTGGAAAAAGAAGGTTGCCATAAATAGGCAGTCCGTGTGTTGACACCTCGTGATGTCATTTTTGAAACGCAGGGGGTGGTGGTGGGGGGGGGGGCAAGATGAATGTGACAGAAGTGGACTTGACCTCGAGCGAGGTGTTTACATACGCATTAGTCTGTCCAATAGATCAGGATTACAAATGATGTGGCCAGCCGCAAGAAAAAGATTGTCGTGGTGATTACATTCGAAGTGGGGAGAAACATTTTTAATTGTATTACTATTATGATTTTATTTTTAATTTTTTTTTCACCACAGTTAATGTAGATTTCTCCATCTATCTATGCCAGTGACGTACAGTGACAGGCAAAATAATTCAGGAGAACCCGCGCAGCCATCTTTATTTCAGTACGTATACTTTTTGTGACATTTTTGGATGGTGTTTTTTTTTTTTTGCTGTGAGATTTGACGAACGCGCTGTCGTTTTAAACAAGGTGGAAGGAAACCTTTGGAAGTATTGATGGAAAAGTACTTCCTCTCGCCCTCTCGTCTTCTTTTCTCGTTCTGCTTTATTCTCTTCTCAGCACAGTCGCGAGTTTGTTTTGCTTAGTTGCGATTCTCTTCCTGAACGAAGCCTGCACATGAGCAGTAGGAAGATGGAATTCTAATATCGTGTTCTATTAAAATTTGATTACACGAGTGGGTTTCAATCATGTATAAATTCAACGATGTCATTCCTTTTCAAGGATTTGTTTTTAAAATCTCATTTCAGCTGGACATTTAGGGGAAATTGTGGTTTTGTGGTGCAGGATGCAGAATGTGGAAAGGGGGTTTGTACAGGAAATACAGCTGCGGTCAACTCAGTCTTAACTTGTACGAATTGCTCTTCACCACTAACGTTGTTCGAAAAAAAAAAGCAAAGACAACACATGCCAAATGCAATGTGGGCTGTAATATGTACATTCGGCTCTTTGGCTCACTTTGCGGACAATTGCAGCGTATACCAAGGGGACTCACTTTTGACATCCTCATGTGTCTGAACCATCATACAAGTGGGAAAAGTAGTTTGCTTTGAACGTGGGGGAGCTAATTTATATATCCTTTTTCACTTTTCGCCTTCTTCTTTTAAACTGGTTGTGTGGGTTTTTTCCGGGTACTCCGGTTTCCTCCCACATTCCAAAAACATGAATGGTAGGTTCATTGAAGGCTCTAAATTGTAAGTGTGAGCGCGAATGGTTGTCTATGTGTGCCCCTCGATTGGCTGGCAACCGGTTCAGGGTGTCCCCCGCCTACTGACCAAAGGCAGCTGCGATAGGCTCCGGCACGCCTGCGACCTTCATGAGGATCAGCGGATCAGATAATCAATGGATGGGAGTTAGTACGTTTAAACACCATTCTTTTTCCATCCATACGTAAGATGAAGTTCTTTTAGAGCATTTCTATCATCCATTTGCCCTTGCACTGTACTTTAGTAAACTACATTTGATTCCTCTGTATTGATTTCAAATGTCTTCATTTTTGAATTTTATGAAATGCATTTTATAAATACATTTGCCATCCTTGCCTCTAACTCCTTTTCAGGGACAGCGGTTACTACAGTGGACAGCTAACATGCTATCAGGTTACAGGGTGCACGAAAGGGTTAAACATCCCTTTTATAACATCCGCAATTCATTTTCTCCCAGGACACTTAAAAATCAACCAGTTCATGCATTTGTATTTTCTCCACGGACTGACTTAAAAACGTCCTCCAATTCTGGAATGACCCAAGGTCATTACTAAAGGACATATTTCATTGAAAAGCTAATCTTGAGCTTCACTTCAACTTGATGAAGATGTGTAACCAGAGATGGTGGTCTTTTCGGGGGTTTGATGAAGTGCCACGATCCTTTAAATCCTTGTTGAGAAGCCGTGAGGACGCCGACTGTAAATCTCCACTCACACATGCAAGAAGA